AACTAGTTTGGTGAAAGAAAAAAAAAATCATTATTTTCATATAGTTTTCTCTTTTTGGGGACGAAAATAATTTTAGAAAATTAAAAAATAAATTAGTTTGGTGTTTATTTTTGTCAAACTAATTTGTAATTTTTTGAAAAATTTCAAAAGCAGATTTTGAAAACTCAACCAAACAAATTGCAAGGGAAAAGAAGTCATGCCCAAAGCCTTTTAGTAAGAGTTCACACTCTAATTGATATAAAGAGATGTGGGCTAATAGTTTTATTTGTTTATTGTATAGTTTTTGAGTTATATATGCCTAAGCCTTTGGGTTGTGAGAAGAAGTGTTCTAGATGGGTGCGGTTTGTTAGTTAATAATTTGGTTTTTGTGCTTTGGCCTAGTCCCTCAAGTTGTGAGGGTTTTACTTTCTCTGTTTGGTTAGATCCTGTTTTTATGTTGCCTAAGAGTTGTGTTGCCTCGAAGGTTTATTTTTTACGGACACTTAGCGTCATGTCCCAAGCCTCATTACATCTCTCTTTTTTGGTAATAAAATTGCTCACTTACCATGCGCACACACACACACAACAAAACTGAGAATCTGAGATAAATAAGACAAAAATGTAATAAATAAGAAGTGGCAATATAAAAATAAACTAGGTGAACATAAGTTCGAATGGTTTGACTGTTACTAGTAACTACACAGATGATAAAGAGTGGCATTATCGACATTGGGGGTGTTGCTGATGAGTGCAAGCTTGTAAGCTCCTTGTACTCTTTTCAGCTCTATTAATAAAGACTTGCTTCGAGTAAGCTTGTCACACCCCAAAACTTTGTTTTTTTATAAGTTCAGATGCTATAAATATGTAAGTGCATAAATTTGTTATTAGATTTTATGTTGAGTATGTTAAATTTTAGCTGCTGGGATGAGTTAGGAAATTTGTGTATATGCTAGAGTCCTAGACATTGTGTAAATTTAATATTATGTGCAAGGCATGATCTCATATTTGGTAACTAATGATTTTTTTGCAGTTGAAATGAATTTAGGTTAATTAGAAAATATGTTGGTTAAGGTATTTTTTTATTGAAATTAAATTATGGTGCAAACTTATGTATGAAATAATATTTCCAAATATGGATTTGTTTGAGCTAGAATGTGATTAATGTTGTTATGTATGTTTACTTATGTGATACAGCTCAGGAGAGGAATCTGATAAAAGTTTAGCAATGCTGGAGTTAAAAGAGGAGTTGCAAGACCAAATAAAGTGACCAATTAATTTATCTTATTCTTAATCTTAGAGAGCATTAGAGTTCTGTTTGATGATTTAAGTGAGTGTTTTATTATGCTCTTACCTTATAGGATTAACGGAAAAGGATTTTGTAACTGTAGTCATGGATGTAATGGTATTCATAAGGGTGACAAAATAAGGATTTGGTACTCAATTGTTAGTATGTATAGACATTGTTATAAAAAGAGCCACATCGGGATTTTTGATCATCTACTGCTATTGATGCTTGCTTCGGTGAATTATAAAGTCTTTTTCTCAATACTCTATTGTGTTCATTTTTTCCATTTTTTTTCTCTTTGTTGCTGTTTTACAGCAATTTTGTATTAAAGTAAATTTCAAGTCCTTAGAAACTGCTTTTATACTTCAAGGCAATGAGAGGGCAGCCTGACAAAAATTAACACTTTTTAGTAGATTAGACCCAGCAAGTGGCGGGCCTTGCATAGGAAGTGCAAAAACTTGCAAAAGGAGCTACGATTCAGTTGAGGATATGATATAAAGGCTTCAATGTCCAAAAAAGCAGAGATAAACTCATTCTATGAGGAAGAAGAGAGGCCACCAACTACGTACTATGTCTATTTTGTGGAACATCATCAAAATTCAGAGTCTATAAATTGCCACGTGATTATGTGTTTTAAAATACTGATGTATTAATGTGGCTCTTTCACAATCATTGATTATGGCACTTGAAGTGGAATGTAATGTTTCTCAAGTCAGTTTGGTAGAATCTTAGCCAAAGAAGTAAACCTATTGCATCTTAAGCAAGAAGTTAACGATGCAAGGAAATTGTATAAATGTAGAATTTTATGTTGTGGTGCAAGCGTTGAAGCTTACAATTTTGTCCTTGAGCATGAGGATAGTTCACAAAACCAAGTTGCAAATGCATTGAGTTGTAGAATGATTTAATACTTTATTTGTTAAGGTAATTGAATCTGATGCTGTTGAAGGCATTTATTCACTGAATACTTTTCAAACTCATTGTGAATCAAATATGGAGAAGATGGAAATTTTCTAATCCAAGAGCTACATGGAAGGGGTATAATCCATCTTAGGCAAGATAAAGTTGTTCTCTTCTTGGAAGACAAATGTTATAGGCCTAGTATATGGCGGGATGTCGAACAGACGAGCAATAGGTGTCACACTCATCAGTTAGCTACGGGCCAGTCACAAGATAATGACTTCCCAATTGCGACTGTTAATTGTGATCATGTGAGTTGGTGGTTGATCAGTTTTTTAAGATATCACATTTTATTCTATGTACTCGAACTGCCATATATTATTGGCGATCAAGATACTGTAGCCTGTAGGAAGTAGGGATGTAAAATAGTCGACCAGTCGACAGGTTTTTCATCAGTTTTGCTTCGGTATCCTGCTTTTGTATTTTGGGGACAAAGTGAATCAAAACCAACAGAGATCCCATTTACCCATTTCAAATCTATTATTTATTGCATTTAGTGCATGATTATACATAAAGTCCTTGCCAAATTTGTCATAATATACTATAAAACTTATCCTACTCATGAATCCCATTTACTCTCTCTCTCTCTCTCCCCCACCATTATTCTCTGCTATCACTTCCCTCTGCTCCTCTCCCTTTTCCCCATTAGATGATGGGTGTCTGCAATGCTACTATTTCAGTCCATCAATGGTGGAATCATAGTCATTCGTGGAGATCTTCAGGTAGGTGGCATAGTCAGGTTTGGCAGTGCCTTCCATGAAGAAATCAAAGAGGGAAAGCGATTAAGCAAAGGGCAATATGAGAGCAAATGAGAAGCAAAGGAGAAAAATTAGACATAAGGTGTGCCTTTTTCATCCTTAGAATGGAATTTTTTGTTGGTATTTTTTTATGAAGTATGATAATCAAATTAGAATTCTAAAATTGTTTTGTTCTGATATTCACTATTTACATTGAATTTTGGGGAAATGGAATTCAGGTTTGATTTGTAAAATTGAAACTTTCTATGCAAATTGGTTTAATCAGTGAAATACAATGTTTAGTTATCTTAACTGATGTCAAAATTCGGGTTTGAATTGCCAACCTAGTAAAACAACCTAAACTGAATCGCACAATTCAAAAACTGAAAGATCAATAATATGACTATTATCTATTAGAAGAAAAAAAAAGATGGATATATCAAGTAGAGCTAGCCGAAGGAAGGGCACTAACACGAGTGAGTTTCTGTTCCATTTTATAGAACTGATGTTGGACTGGGGGATTGTCGTATGTTTTAGGTGAGGTTTTCTGAAGGAGTATCCACATCTCCAATGGTACCATAAGAACAAAACAAAAACATTTGTCTCGACTCTTAACCTCAAAAATAGTGAGACCCTTTGACAGGGGCCACTTTCTCCCATCTTTCAGAAGAGTGAGGATCTCCAGCTAGACTAGAACCTCCTCCTCACCTCTCACACAAACTGATGTTTGCCACAATTGGCTAGCAAGACTTGGGGGCCTCTTGTAGCTTGGTATAAAGCCATAGTGTGGTTTTCAGATAGTTTCATGGCCAATATTGCGTCCAAGGTGTGGTCTTCGAGTTGTGTCATGATCCATTCTGAGAATTGGGAATCATGTGGCTTGGTGGCTAAGAGCAAAGTCTCATCAGGGTGTGGATGCTGTCTTCACCTCCACTAATCGACGACAGACACTTATCTTGATACCATTAACATCATAAGGTCCTTATCAGATTATCATAGAGAAGAATCCTAACTTGATCACAAATCATTTCTATTTTAATTGCAACACAAGGCCCCCTTACATACTAGGACTTCAACTTTATCTCAATCTCTTTTTCTTTTTTGATAAGTAACTTTACCTGAATCTCCTCTGCTTATAAAAGGAAGGCTCCTCTCCTCATTTGGATCATATATTCACTAACTATTCCTTTGGGTCCTACACTACTTGCGTTGCTCTTTACTTGCGGTAATCTCCATCATTTCCAACTAAACGTTTGCAGTATCCATTTCTCCAATGCTTACATTTGGACCCTCTACACCAAAAAACAAAGAAAAGGCTAATTCCTTGGAACATTTAATAGCCATTAAATGCCATAAACAAGAGGGAAAAGAAGACCCAAGAGACAATCATTTTTATTCAGCTAGAAAAGTGGGCAAACACCACTGAATGTTGGCTACATCCTATGCTAATATTATTCGGATTGAATTTACAACTCTTCTTAGGTTTTAAAAAAGAAAAACGGTTATACTATTGAATGCTGGCCACATCCTATGCTACTAATTTCCGATCGATTTTACAACTTTTCTATGGTAAGGAGGATGTTATAGGATAGAGCACCAAACATTGCTTATTCGACTACTTTGTTGTCTGTAGTAAATAGCATGTCTACAATATCATGGTATCATATGAGTAAGTTTAAGGACTATAACACAAAATTGTTCACATAACAACCCAGCTATAACTGAAAGGTTAGCTTTAATAATGTTTCCATGGTTTTATAGAGAGAGAGAGAGAGAGAGAGAGAGAGAGGGAAAAAATTATGAGAAGAGATTAAAACCACAAGGAGATTTCTATGAAAAAGTGATGCATAACAATCTTTTGTTGTAAATCAACTCAATAAAATCATGAACTCTTGCTCTTTAGTACAAACACGAATTCATTTTTTTAACATTCAACTGGGCCAATCCCTAATTTAATCCTAACAGCAAATATCGTAGGCTTTAATTGCAGATTTTTCAAGATCGGTTTTTATAGGAGTTTCACTTAATGCAACCCTAGCTTACAAATTCATCCAATTTTGGTTCTTCCCTTATAGGTTGCACAAATACCATAAGTGGTGTTTACAGGAGTCACAACATTAATCATATGCATAGAATAGAAATATAATATCTTAAATTAAAGAGACAAAATGAAAGCTGGAACAAATATACATTATTAATCCAGAAATGTCTAATGTACCGAAAGTTGTATTTGAAAGACAAAGGTACAGAAATAGTAGTCAAAACTATTAGCAAAGACATACACACATCGGGAAAACAAATCATCTCCAAAATAAGCACATAACAAGGCCTCAATCATCGCAAATCAATACCAGACAAAGCCAAAATCACAAGCAGAAACAGTAGCCCATCAATCATCTTAATTCTTCAATACACTGCATGTACAACAACCATCAGAATGACTGCTTAAAATACTAAACCAAACGAGAAGGAAATTTGAAAAATCAAATGTTGACCAAACAATCAAATTTCAGGCCAGACAAGTATGAGAATCAATCTAACGATTGTTGTTTCATTGAAATGCACTAAGGTAGTGAAAAGAAATGGATTAACAGGAGAAACTGAATCAAGCAAGAAGAAGATCCAACCAGAATAACCATGCACTCAGCTTTATAAGTTCAATTATTGGCTTCTAACTATAAGTTCACCCATGCATGAAATTATTTTCTAGAGTCCATTAAGCATGTCAGCTATTACTAAGAATTAGATAAAACATTTTCTTTCCATTTTTGAGAGAAAGTGAAACTTACTTGTATAGATAGGTGGCAATCCCAAGAATTATGCACAACAATATAATATCAATACAGAAATTTTGATTGGACCTCAGTTGAAACAAATCAAAACTTTCTGTCACGTAGCACAGCTAATCTCTCTCTCCCTCTCTCTCAAAGTAATGCAAATCTACAGAAAATACAGTGGCAGATCAATCACCTGGTTAACAGTATCTTTAAGTCTCACAATGGTGTTCTTAAGGTCAGATGCTGCCTTGTCGACCTGTAGGATGTGAAAAAACACACCATTAATACTTTAAGAATACTTGTAGCTTCAGATATTACCAGGACAGGACGAGTTCTCAAACCTTAGTATCAATCTCGTCTATTAAAGGAACTTGCCTATCCATTTCCTATATGAATTGCAAAGTCATAAATTGATGCGCACAAAATGGGACAAAGTAACATATACAAATGCACAAGGCAGCAGCAAACCTTATTCAAATCATGGGCCATGTTTTTCAACGTATCCAAACCTTCTGATGTCACTTCCAATCCTTGGTCCTGTGTGAACGTCAAAGTAAAACACATTATTTTTATTTTTTATTTGGAATCAATAGAACAACGAATGCAAAAACCACAGAAGAACAAATCCTCATCAGAAAGAAAAAAAATCAAATTTCCCTTCAATTTAAAAAAAAAAGGTGTTCAACTCTAAATAATTATGTGCTTGTTTCATTTTTTGCATTTCATATTCTTGCCTGAATTGGTTGGACTCTTTTGTTTGCTGGAAGTATTCACTGTTGAACTGTCCATCTATGATCCAAATGAAACAAATAATTGAACAACAAATCTCAAGTAAGAGTCTCCCAGAAAAAAAAATGAGGGAAAAAAAAGAGTAGAATAAAGACAGCCAATCACCTGAATCAAACTTGATTTCTATGCGGGAAGCCAAACCTGTCCAGCCTCCAGATTGTTTGGGAGAGCTGTAGTTCCATCTGGTATGGCTTGAATCCTATCTGGCAGAGCAAGGATCAAATCATTACGGGCAGCAAGTTCTTATGTCGAAAGCCCCTTAACCTGAAAGTAAGATTTATTATTGATGCAACATCCATCAAATGGTTAAACAAATCTAATAGGCTTTAGAAGCTTAAGACAACGGCCATGGGTACCATGGTTATCAAGACGCTTTTTCCGTCAAAAGGAAGGGGCCCATGGAAGTTTTGAAAGTCTCCAATTATAATAATATGAAGTCTATTTGGAAGTAGCTCGACAGATTGTAATGGCCCGAAATAATTAATACTAACCCACCACATAATAGTACTACAATTGATCGACATCCTCATCACTTCTATTCATCATATCTTTGATCATTACAAAAGATGGCATATGCAATATATATTCAAGAATCCTAGATTCTGAATTTATAACATATGGCATGGATACAAGAGTACAAGGAAAATAGAATCAAATAAAGAAATGCCCCAATAGCTACAACTTTCTAAGACATTACTTGGTTACAACAAAATGAGTTTAAACTTAATATAAGTGAAACCCAAGGCTTGAACAAAATAATTACATAAAGAAACCAAAAAGAAGCCTTAAACTTCGAGTCCTTTCAAGCTATGTCATTGGAGGGGGCATATCATCAGCACCTGAAAGTTGTTTTCCACATAGGGTGAGCCAAAGCCCAGTAGAGTTGCTTTAACACAGCATATGAATCTTAATAAAATTATAAAGTTAATGCACATGCATGCCATTTTCCAAACATTGCTTGTTTTCCTTCTCAAAACCATGCAATGCAAGATTACATATCAATTCATGAAAATAATTATTTTATATATAAAATAATGCAATAGATACAAAACACTGAAAATCTCTAGGTACATGTCTGCCAGTAGGCTATACAAGCACTACCAAAGCCATTTTACCGGTACTAACCAAAAGGATTGGCACCTGACTGCGCGGGTTTCTAGACTATCACCAAGGACACACAGACCAACATCATAACCACAACTACACCACCTAACCAGATTCACCAAGATATTTACACATTTTTCTCAAAAACCAATACATTTAAAATGTTCAATATGTAATGATGCTCAATGCACAATGAATGAGAAATTAGTTTCAATTCAACCTAATCCTCATGCAATGTCTATAACAATCAAGACTATATCGATAACCCAAAACAGATATTTCTATTTAGTAGAAAATTTTCAATCAAAATATACAATTTCAACAATTACAAGGGAAGTGATACTACATATCCAACTCCACCATCATCATCAACATAACCATTATTCCAATTTTTTCAACATCTAACATCATTCCCCATTTTCCCTTTTCACAATTTCAAATATCCAAAATTAGGGCAAAACCCCATTTTCTTTCAAAATCAATTTTAAGAAAAGATTTCCACCATTTCCACCCTAGTCACCCATATCTACATTCCCATAACCATTTTCAAGAATCAAATTACAGGATGGAAGACAATTACCTTGAAAGAAAGCCTGAATTTGGCTTAAGACAGGGAGTCAGGGCTAATGATTGATCTCCAAACACCACTTGGAAGATAGCTTCGAAGATAGGGGCAGCAAGCCCAGCAACCGGAGCAGTGGGTTCATAGATACCTAGGGTTCCAGATTGGTTTGTCATGCAGAACAAACCTAAAGTAATGCCTACCCAAAGAAAAAATTTTGAAGACAAGGGAAGAATGATCAAACCCCTCTTGGTAGCTCCAAATAATTGGGTGCTACTTAAAAACCCAAAGACACGGGAACTAGATATGATTCATGTGATCTCCAGGTCCCAAAGGAGGAAGATCCCGCGAAGATACACCCAGTATCAGAGGGACCTGAAAGAGAATGGAGAAAGTACTTCCTTGGCACAGTCAAAAAGCTAGACAGAAGAATGAGAAGGTTCAAAGCCTGGTCCTAAGATCAAAATGAGTGCCAACAGAGAATAATTGGGTAAAGTTCATGTTGAACTAAGAGCAAAAGAGAGATCCAGTCTAGCAAGCCTCGAAAAGGCCTTGATGGAGAGTAATGACGAAATAGATGAAGAAATTGAACTAGGCCAAGAAAAGGTATTGACTAAAGATGAAATGTTCGAAGCTTTCATGGCTGAACAAACCTTCATGGTTAAAAAGCCAACGGAGGTAGACCATTAACAAATTACTGCAAAGGAACCTACTAGCACTGAGGTACCAGAATGCAGTATGGGAGATGTTTCCCCAGCATTAGAGCAAACCAATATGGAAGGAGAGCAGTCACAGCCAGTGGTAAAATTTGTCTCATTCCCTTCAGTGCCAGTTAATATGGTTTATATGCTACCTCAGGAGTTTCAAGCCGAGGAGGAGAACCAAGAAGGCTAGGAGGATGATCCCGTTCCAGTTTCCAGTGAGGATTCACAAACCAGCATGGTCCAAGATGAATCTGAGGTGGCCAGGCCCATGGAAACTGATGAAGAGAGTAAAGATGGGAACATTAACCTCTCATACCCCTTCGAATATCCTACAGTATCCATGACCTAACATGTTAAGCCCTTATACATTAAGGCTTATTTCAATGGAATAGAAATGAGCAGAGTACTGGTAGACAATGGGGTAATAGCGAACCTGCTTCCAAGATCCTCTTTGAAGAAGTTTGGGAAAAGAAATCCCAAGTTGATCCTAACAAGCACAACCATTGCTGGTTTTGCTAGGGACAAGTAGATAGCTTAGGACATTTTGCCTATCAACCTAAGTGTGAGAACCAGTGTGACACCCCTGTTCCGTAGTATGTTAATTGGTCCTTAACATGATGTGATTATGTATTTTGATATGATTTTGTGTTCCACTATGTGAAAATATGTGGTTTGAAATTTTATCTGTTCATCGTAGGAATATCTGTTTGAGTAGTCTGTTTTGGAAATTTAATTGAGGGCCTTATCGGCCACGGAACCCGAAATTGACTACGCCATTGTGGTTGGCATAATTTTTAGGGCCTACGGTGAAATTTAATTGAAATTTAATTCTGGCCAATTTAAACTGATTAAATTGATAAATTAAGCACCCCATTATTTTATATTAAAATATTTGTTAGTGGGGCTTGTTGTATATTTGCATTGCACTCCCCTTTAGCTCTCTTAAAACTCAAAATCTGAGTTAGACAATTGAGAGGGAGAGAGAGGCCGGCCATGGAGAGAAAAAGGGAGAGATTTGTGTAATTTGGGCTCAAGACTTGGGAATTCGAAGATCTAGCTCAAGATTTGGCTAGAGCTTGAGTATTGAAGCTCTTAGGGTCAAGCTCCAGGGCGCATCCACAAGCCGATCACTGTGAGTAATATCAATATTTGAAAACTTGTCAATGTCCAATTGTTATTCCCCCATAAATATTATGAGTTGTTAATCGGGATTGTGGACAAAAGTCTGACAAGAAGAAATGAATGAATGGGCCAAAGGCCGTTTGACATGAACGAATGGGCCAAAGGCCGTTTGCATGAATGATGGGCCAAGGCCGTTTGACATGAACGAATGGGCCAAAAGGCCGTTTGACATGAACGAATGGGCCAAAGGCCGTTTGACATGAATGAATGGGCCAAAGGCCCGTTTGACATGAATGAATGGGCCAAAGGCCGTTTGACATGAATGAATGGGCCAAAGGCCGTTTGACATGAATGAATGGGCCAAAGGCCGTTTGACATGAATGAATGGGCGCGAAGGCCGTTTTGCCATGAATGGAAACCCGGATGGGCCAAAGGCCCAGAATGTTTGGAACTAAGTTACTTGACTTGCATTTCGTATAGTTAATATATTTTGCTGCTAAACAGAAGTATGAATTGGGCCCAAGGCCGTTTGGAGCATGTTGATCTACATATTGTTATGTAACTGTTATATTTGATATTATTCACTGGGCTATCGCTCACCGTCATTCATTTATTTGTAGGTGAGCCAAGGGAAAGTCCAAACCCAGCCCCAGTGAAGTCTGCTAGGAACAACAGGAGTTTTGGGAGAGTCAGCCTTGGCCTCGCGCATGAGACCAATCCTTGCCCTTTTACTATGTACCTATGTTTTGTCTTGTTGGCAAGGACCCAGTGCATGTCTGTACATAGTCTGTTATAGGTTGACTCGTTTTGGACGAGCCTGCTTCTATAATGAATTTTGTGAAGCTGTACTTTTGATGTGAGTTATTACGTATCTGAGTATGGTTTGTTTGATGTGCATATAAGCACGGCTCTATGGACAAAGTTTTTAATTTTGCTTCCGTTCGGCCCCCATTAACTCTGTTAAAATACGTTTAGAACAGTTTGAGGCCGTAGGTAAATCTCATGATTACTGGCCGGTTACGTCCTTAACCCACGGGGGCGGGTTCGGGTCGTGACAACCAGAGACTGTATGATAGCATTTTTTTGTTATAGACAGCAATGCCAAGTATAATGCTTTGCTTGGCAGGGATTGGATCCACACAAAACAAATGTGTTGCCTTCTTCTTTACATCAGAAGATAATGATAGCACATGTAATGGGAAAACAGAGGAGATCAATGCAGATCCATAACCCTTTATTGCTTGTGTAGATTTTGTAGAGGCCAAAGTATACACTAAAGGGTAGTACCACTTAGTGTCCTGAGGAAGTCTAATATAACAGCTGAAGTGACAGCTGATGAGAAAGTAGCACACCTGAAGCATCTAGTACAGGAAAGTGATGATGATTGTAGGCAAAAAGGATCAAGATCAAGAAGCCAGACCATTGGCTTTGATCAAATTTTCAGCATTAGACATAGAGTCGATAGTCCAGAAGGTGCAGGAAAAAAAAAAAAAAAAGAAGCCATGATAATTGGCTGTAGTCAGAGGCAACAAAAGGCCAGACCTTTGGCTCTTGATAAGTACTGTGTGTTGGATATTGAAACTAAAGTCCAGGAAATTCAGGAAGAAAAGGCCCTATGGATAGATTTTTTCTATGAAGAAGAAAAGTAAGGATGTTGAACTAGAAAGGGTAGGAGCAAAACAAGATGAAAGGGTTACTTTGAAGGTAAGAAAAGCCAAAGGGGGAGCATCATGGAGTACTCAAGTGCAAGATCCCTTGGAAGAAGTCAACCTAGGGAAAGGTTCAGTACAACAAACCCACCTATATCAGTGCTTTGGTTGGATCTATTGACAAGAACCAATTGTTAGTTGCCTTGAAACAATATAAAATTGTTTTGCTTGGTCTTACAATGAGTCATCAAGGTTGGACAGGTCACTAGTGGAACATATGCTCCCAATGAAACCTAATTTCAAGCCACAACAAGCAAAAAACCAAG